CATTTTTCCGGAGGCAGCGACACCAAATGTAACAACAGAAGACAAGGCTGGCAACAGATCAGTTTTATTACGAAAACCAACAGGTATTTATATGTATTTTACGTACATTAATAAGGCTTCTGCCCGCAGAAAGAAGGCGGTCTTCTGATTGGTTGTTTGCAAACAAACGCAGTCTTCTGCTTTCTCGTTTTCGATATTTTTCGGAAATGCGAGCCACTTGTCTGCGAATCATATTTGTCCACGTTTAGGTCAGCTGTGATCGGTTGTTGAATCAGCCTAGATTAATTTCTACCAATCAGCGTAGATCAATGTCTACCAATTGGCTAGCAGCTTGCTCTCACCACACCAGCAAGCGAGTTGAATACGTTGAACCTTTGACTCTAGAAAAGGTTAGGAACAGCTAGTCGACATTTTAAACATGCAACCATATACGCCTTTTATCGATCACTTGTTTAGAAATATTAAAAAAAGACGATGCGAAAGGAAGATTACATGCAAATGTTTTGTTTATTTTGTTATTTTTCGCCCAATAATATCACGTTACTTTTGGTCACATTTTGGTTGTGTCATTTTTCAGAAAATTAAACCACATTGCACCAATCGATTACATGTAGACAGCAAATTGCATCCTCGGTGGGCGACATGATCCTTCTGACAGACAGTCCAAACTGCCGTTATGTGCTCAAAAAGTAAAACAAATCAGAGGAAAATAATGAAACATTAGAGATGACCGAAATGAAATCTGCTCTGTAGAATTTAAGGCCAGTTTCATCCATGTCATGGGGATAACTAAATTTATTATGCCTAGCTTATTATTCTAGATACATGTATATATTTAGATGCCCTTTAGTTTATCTTTCTTTGTATTCATATATGTATTCAATGAAGGCATACTAAAGTGACCCCGCCCGAGACGAGTTACAAGAAATGAATTTTCGTAACCTGTTAAAATGTGTGTCTCTGAAATAAGACACAGTGTGCACTTTTGAAAACTGGAAGACGTTCTGAGGATAACTTATTCCTTGCAACCACACCAATTTAGTGAGGCGTCTTCGTAATTTGCAATGTATACTTTTTCTCTCTTCCCCTGGCTTATATGTGTAAAAATTGCAGTTTATATACATATACAGCAAATTATAAGGTGTGAATGAACCGACATGATTATCAGCAACAAATTGTTCCCGGAACGTCAGCCAGTTATCCATAATGTATCTCTATGTGTTGTATCGAATGTATCTATTTAAATCTGGAATTGCACTCTACCACAGTACCCAAAAGTCTACTCTCACATTAATCGTGGTACTTCTCAATGTAACCTTGACAAAATGGCGAACCAAGTGGCGAAATATTTTCTCTAAGAGTCTCCCACCCTTTGGATTCATTGCCCGCTGAAGCGAAAACTATATCAGTCGATATCTTCAGAAGAGGGCAAGTATATCATGCAGAATTAATACATTAGAGCTCTTCTACAGTGAAGTAGACCAGGGGGCCCTAGTGTTGCCAGAAATACCCCACTTACCTGACTTATTCTCATATACTTCACTATATTATCATGGCCTTTATCATTACCTCTTTCTCCACTAATACCTTTACGTCCTTTTCTTTCCGCTATTTGCACTTTCACTGTCGCAATCCATCTTTTTCCTTGACCTCCATCAGTCTACTCACCCCACAGATTCCCTCCCAACATGACTGCTGTCATATTTTCTAGACCAATTATCAGCCTGATCTAAGGATTCCTCTGTGAAGCGAAATTTTCAGTTTCAAGCAACTCTACTGCTATGATACAAATCACGCATTCCACCTCAAATTAACATTGAGCCCTTTTATTGCGTTCAGCATAGCTTCAGCAGTAAATTGTATAGATTCCGCTCAAAATTTAAACTCTCCCCAAAACCTCAAGAAACGATAGCCAAGAGATTGTAAGAGTTAGACTTGGGTACACCACAAGATCATAAGATTAGTACAATCCGGTGAAAAGACAGTGGATACTGGTTCACATACCATTAATCAGTATACACCTAAACTCGTTCTTTTATTTCTTCATATTCTCCCTCGTCTTACTCTTCTGAGTACTCCAACTATTAAGCGCCTTACAGTATTATTGTTAATGATATATATATGTATTAATCTTAAATCTCATTGGCTGTCTGTTTTCATGTTTTCTTAATTTCTTTTTCTGTCTTTTAGTCTGACTAACGTACACTAATTATATCTGTTATTATTATCTGTTTTCTTTTGTCGACGACACTGAAGGACTAACTGGTGAAAGGATAAACTCTATTCACAGTAGCAACACAGTCTTAACACACCACATACTACTAACAACATAAAATCAATCCCAGCCCCACTCCTTTTATAGTCAAACAAAGTTATGACAGGGGAGTGGCAGGACGAACTACGCAGAAGATTGTCGAAGATCGGCAACCTTTATCCCACAACCAAGAAGCGGGGACCAAAATATAAAATTGATCTACACTAGCTCTTGAAATGATATTGTGTATTGGATGACCCTCAATGGCCCACAATTTCAAATGCACGCGTTATAACGCATTTCACAAATAGACTTGTGTTTTTCTCCCCTTGTGCATTGTAAACTGCTGAATGTGTGTATTCCATAAGTTTGATAATTCTTAAATGTATACCTCTTCGAAAATGTAATAATAACTTTCTATTTAGCGGCAAAGAACATTAATGCAATTGATTGTATTACGAAGCGGAATTCATGGCCATGAAGAGATTTCCTCGTATTCAACCCGTTATTCTCATTGAACTTAATATTTACACTGGCAAGTATGAGTGCGAAATAACTCGACTTACTCATATTATGGTTTAGTGTTTAGCGCGCTCACCTTAAGGTGAGCAATTGCGCGCGCGCTTCGGAAAAGAGAGTGGCATTTTTTACGTTGTGAAGTAACTTCTGCTTTTGTTGTGTAAATCGCATCAGAAGCTTTTTGGTTTACTTTAACTGGTTTAATTAGTTAAAGTAGTGTCTATTTTTGTGCACTTTTGTGACTTTTTGTGTTTTTATATCTCTGTATTTAGGTATATATATACATATTTGTGTGTAACTTAAGCAGCTTATACTGACATGAATCCCACAAATAGTTGTGGACGACCGGACTGCCACTTTCCGGTGGAGGATGGGATGCAGTGTGATAACTGCAACGTATGGTTCCATAAAGTTTGCACTGGCTTATCACCATCAGCCTATAGGAGAAGCAGCAAGCTGTCATCTCCATGGATGTGCAAATTTTGTGCAAACCCGTTGGATGTCCTCATCCAAGAGGCCGTAGGACTTCTCATGTCGAAGAAGTTACCAAAAACCTCTGATGAGGGAAAAAATGCAACATCTAGTACAGATGTTATAAACGAGGATTCTGACCTTAGTCATAAAACTAAGGCAGAACCACATCCCCTATCTTCGAAAGAAGCAACAGAGTTGAAGTGTGCCCAGCAGTCTGCAATAGCACGTAAAAAGCCCCGAAAACCTAGGAGGGCAAAAAGTGCCAACATTGTAAGACAGCAGGGTGATACCACAGCGATGAAGCGTTGCGTGTCTGGTGAACGCACAGCTTCCAACTGCGGCGAGAGTAAAGTGGAACCATCTGATTCCACCTGGCTAGTGCCGAAGAGTAGGAAGCTCAAGAATCACAGGAAAGAGAAAAGTACTGTGGTTAGTGATAAGGTCTCAACGGCCGTAAACACTGACAAGATTAAACCTTCGGATTCAAATTACAGTATAGTAATTTGGAATTTGGAGGAATCGAAGAAGGTAGATCCAGCTGCTCGACATGCTGACGATCTCGAAATAGTTAGCTCCATCATCCGTGAAATATTTCCGGAAAAAACGAATGGTGTTCACATAAGGAAAGTCATCAGAATCGGTAAACGAATCGCCGATGTAACGGAAAGTTCCCCACGACTGCTGAAGGTGGTACTGGGGAACGAGATGGAGAAAACTATTATTCTCAACAACGCATTCAAGATGAAGAATAAAAAAAGAGAATTAGGCCAGACTGGCCTTTGGAAGATAGAATTAGGAGAAGAGAAGCTGTGGCTGAACTAAAGGCCCGATTAGAAAAAGGTGAAAAAGACATCAAACTATTGGGTTTTCGGGTAGTGAGGTCTCGGAAACCTATGTTATCCAGACCTCTGTTCATAAGTCGAGTGAACACAGGTCTCTCAGTATGCTACACGAACGCTTGTAGTCTTAGGAATAAGCTTCCTGAACTAGGAGTGTTGACTGAGGAACTACAGCCGGATGTGATTGCTATCACCGAAACATGGTTGTTAATGGGTATAGACTTAACTCCACTCATACCTGGGTACATCTGCATTAGAGCAGACAGAGTAAGTAGCCGGAAAGGTGGGGGGTCGCTCTATACATTCGAGATGACATAGGAATTAGGTCGACGTTGTCGGAAGCTCATGACAGTGGCACCTGTGAAGCCGCAAGTTGTGTCATTAACTTGAACAAAGGCACTGTAACTATAGGGGTTATTTATAGAAGTCCTACCAGCCAAGCTGACAATTTCGTTATAAATCACCTCAGGACGTGGAGTAGAATGAATAGGTGTCTAATAGTAGGTGATTTTAATGCCCCGCATATTAATTGGGAAGAATTAACATCAACTACTTCGTACAATTGTTTCAATAGGGAACTAATACTGGCAGTACTTGAATGCGCACTTATGCAGCATATGGATGCACCAACAAGATACCATCCTGAACATGATCCGTCCACTCTAGACTTGGTGCTAACACACCAGAAGGAGGAAGTTGGTAATATTAGGTGCCTGGCGCCGCTAGGCAGTTGTGACCACATAGTTATTACTTTTATGTTCAGGATCCAGGCCGTCATACATAGGTCAACAGCCGCTCGCCCAAACGTTTGGAAAGCGAATATACCTGCAATCCGAAATGCAGCAACCCTAGCTAACTGGTCTGTTAACACAAACCAGACTGTCGAGGAGGCTTGGATGGGATTTAGGAATACACTAGAGTGCGTCACTGCACCCTTTGTACCTTGGTCTACGCCTCGAAAATTATCTCATAAACCACCTTGGATTAGTAATGAAATAAGGAGGTTACTAAGAAAACGAAAGAACTTATGGGACCGGTTTGCTGTGACTGGAAGGGATGAGTTTCGGGTAGAATACCGCAAAGTTCGAAACCTTTGCAAGTTTGAGATTGACAAAAGTCGCATAGAGTATGAGAGACAGTTAGTACTGGATTGTGTGCATTATCCAAAAAGACTGTTCTCGTATATCAAACGTAGGACTAAAACTAGTAGTGGCATACCGTCCCTCATTAGCAACACAGGAGAGGCTGCAGAATCAGACGAAACAAAAGCTGAGGTGCTCTCCGAATATTTCTGTGATGTTTTTTCGTCTAATCGTACCACCCAGGGGTGTAGCGAGGTAACTGGTGTAGCCCCTAAAATGCCCCCAATTGTGGTAGATGATGTAATGGTTCTGAAACTACTGTCTAAGTTGAAGCCAGGTAAATCACCTGGACCAGACGGACTTCACCCTAGATTGCTAAGCTCCCTGGCGGATATAATACACATTCCACTTACGGAGATTTTTCAGATGTCTCTGACCCAGGCTAGGTTACCCAGAGACTGGAAAGATGCTTTTTTATAAGCCCCATCTTCAAAGATGGAAACAGACAGTTAGTATCTAACTACCGGCCTGTAAGTCTGACCTGCATTATGGCAAAGGTGTTAGAAAAACTCATAAGGGACCAGCTCTTAGCTCATACGGAAAAACATGGCTTACTGGCAGTGGAACAGCATGGATTCCGACCAGGACGATCCTGCTTGACAAACTTACTGTTAGCTAGGGAAGATTGGGTCGAGGCCAGGGATAAAAACCATCTACTGGACGTTGTATTTATCGATCTTAGTAAAGCATTCCATAAGGTATCCCACTTAGGTCTTCTTAGTAAACTTAAACATTTTGGATTAGACCAACGCTTATGCGAGTGGTTTAATGACTACCTGATGGATAGGAGACAGAAGGTAAGGGTTAATGGTATACTGTCAGGGTGGAAAGCAGTACTAAGTGGAGTACCTCAGGGAACGGTACTTGGCCCCCTGCTATTCTTATTATACGTAAATGAAGTGCCAAAAATTCTTACCTCATCTTCCTTACTATTTGCGGACGATATTAAGATATGGAAAACCGTAAATAGTAGCGATGATAGGTTGGTACTACAAAACGATCTAGACAAATTAACCGAATGGGCTAACCTTTGGAGTCTGGAAATTAATTCCAAGAAAAGCGCGGTAATGCACCTAGGTCAGAAGTCTTACACGTCGTACTCCATGGGGGACACAGAACTGCCAGATGTTAGGGAACAAAAGGACTTGGGAATTATTGTTAGCCATGACTTAAAAACAACGGCGAACTGTAATCGAGCCGCAGCTAAGGCTTTTCGAATGCTATGGGCACTTCGAAGATCTTTCAAACGATTAGACGAGGGTATGTTCCAAGTACTCTATGCAACATATGTCAGGCCTCATCTAGAGTACTGCATACAAGCGGCGAGTCCATGCTTCAAAAAGGAGGCACATACCCTGGAAAGAGTACAGAGAGTAGGAACCAAATTAGTTGGTGGTATCTCACACCTTCCTTATGATAAGAGGATGGAGCATTTGTATCTCTTCCCATTATCATACCGAAGGAGGAGAGGCGACTTAATTTTGGCTCAGACCGAGGTCGAACAAAATACTTGTGGAATTTAGATTCTCTCACAGAATAGTCGACGACTGGAACTCCTCACCTGATTCAGCAGTAACAGCTCCATCGGTGAACGCTTTCAAAGAGAAACTAGATTTCTGCATATATATATATATATATATATATATATATATCAAGGATTAACATAGGCAACAAGAGCCTTCTATCCTTATAATCTGAATCTGGTCTACTTGCAGTGCGCCTACATTCTTGACCGTAGCATCCGCACTTCGTCCTAACCTATGCGCAAACTTGTGCGTGTGTTACTTCATAGGAACACCATGTGTCGTCTATGCATTGATGTCTTCATATCCCAATCAGACTAAATCTCTTCATCTGAAACAGGAGAATTGAAATCAAAATATGCTTACTTAATTATAAGTATGTATACTGTGGTGAGTGTTGTGTTTCACTTTGACCTAAACTGAGGGAAACTGACTAACCACGTGACTCTGGTATGTCGCGAATCCATCTGTTCAATCTCCATATCCGGGTTGTTCTGTAAGAACAAAAAGGCGAAGTTTTCAAATACTGATTCGCCGTTGAAATATTGAAAATACTGCACATGGACGTCCCAGCTGCAATCAGAACGAGAAGTTGAAGTTGAGTTTCTTCAGCAAGTTATTTTTCCTTTGGTTATCCTCAGTATTGCTTTGAAGAATATGGCGTTACTTCTAGTTTGTATTGGTACTTTAAATAACTTCCTCAGATAATACAAATTCAATATCAAGTCATTGATGTTTCTATTTTACAGACATCTTGTGACAACTGTATTGGATCTGTAACCAAGTAACACACTATGGATACTGTTCTCCTAAGTGATCTTGAACGCTTCTACCTCGTACAGGGAGTTGAAGTTAGTTTACCAACTAATTGTTTCTAATTCACTTTAGTTGGGATGTAGGATGGATGGCCGCAGGCCAAACGAATATCGACCTTTAGAAATTGAGACTAGTATATTAAGCCACGCGAGCGGTTCAGCGAGTATTCGCATTGTAAGTAAAATGTGTGCTTTTTTACGTTAAATTGTAGGGTGAAACATTTATTTTATGTTGTGTCAAAACGGAAGTTGGTAAACCGTCTTTAACTGCTCCAAATGAAGGTCGTATAGAAATTAATGTTGAATGGTAAGTCAAATACATATTTTCTATTTTGAAAATTACACTCTATTCCTGAATTCTTGTTGTGCAGAATTTAATAATGCATCTCATTTAAGCTTATGTTATACATTCTGTATGCAGAACTTACCTCTTTACTTGTCAGAATCACTGAAGAAGCAACAAATGATTTGTCTTGATGATCAGACTTGTATATGGCATCTTATCATATTAATGACAAGAGCTTATTGTGATTTTTACAGTCACACATGAATTCAGTGGGAGTTCTTTAGATTATCTGGCATATACAGATAACCTCTGGATAACGGTTCTGAAAAGATGTGTTGTTGTTTGGAAACCAAATGACAAATCAAAAAAGTATGGGATTCACTTCCTATTTGGTAAATGTAAGCCGCTCTTTCAAGCTTGTCTTACGTTGACAAGCTGTCTTATTAAAGGAGGTGAATAGGGTGAACCCATAATCATCCCGTATTCCTGGGAAATGGTATTAGTCCTAGTGAGCTTCTGAATGAAAACATCTCGACATCAAAATAAAACTTTGCCCAGATTTCACTAAACTGTGACACTATCTCTATGCAGACTCAAATTTGGGCAGCAGTTAAGAATAGACACCACATTCAAATGAACTTAAACCAGCCAATCAGATCACTCAGCATTACAAATGGGTGCTTTTCATGATCTTCGTTGCAAGTTTCATCCTGGTTCAGGGTTAAGGTTAAGGTGGGATTAAGGTAAGGTTATGATTACGGTTAGGGTGAAATTTGCAACGAAGATTAGGGTTAAAATGAAGCTTGCAGCAAAGATTATGAAAAGCATACATTTTTAGTCCTGAGCTATCTGATTTATTGGTCTAATGCTACTTGACTCTGGTGTCTATTCTTTACTGTTGCCAATATTTGATTGCCTTTTAGGTGTTGACAACACCACGCATCTGTTGTTCCACTGTCGCTTTCTTTCTAGGTATTGCTGCTGTTAAACCTCTCTTGCCTGAAGTGTTTTGAACTTGTGTTACGCATAACTTACTGACAGTCCAATGTATTATATATTATCTAACTAGCAAACTTGTTACATAATAGTCATCTAGAGATGCACCACACAGATTAGAACAGTATGAGAAGAGAATTTATACAAATGAGGAAAAACAGAATGAAAACAGTCTGAATGTATATGAAGGGCATTCTAAATAGAACTCGGCAATGCATATTACTTTCAGAAATAGAAGAAAAAGGGAATTCGCAGCGTGTTTGTCATTGGTTTTGTTTCCAAAACATAACTGATAGTGTCTTGAACGCCTATAGGTTATGGCATTTCGTGCAGTATCGTTGACATAATTGTTAAGAACGTAACACCCAATAATTATCACATGGATTACGTAGGCTGTTTTCTTAGGATGGATACATGGATGTATCACTCTCGACTTCCCTTACATTCCCGAAAAACTTAGCTCTCAATTGGATGTTGTTCCTGGTCACAGCTACTTTAACTGTCATCATGGTAGCTTGTGAGTGAAAGAGGCGTTCGCGTGTGACTTCTGTAGCGTCAATAACCAGCCTGAAGTCTAGCTTGGTATATGAAATTTGGCTACAAAAGTGGGTGAAACGGACTTGCTTAGGTCAACTTGTCTAAGGTGACGGTCATCGTGACCATCAAAACGCAGGAGAAGTCTGACGTACAACAAGGCGTGATGAGGACCCAGAAAACCGATCCAGAGGGAGCGGCATCCTTGTGTGCACCCCATCATTCGTAGCTGATGGCACAACAGCTTAGCTGAACAACGGTGTAGTGTGATAAGTTAAACGTTGAGCTATTTCATTCTTGAAATTGTAAGAGCACAGGTTTCATATATTTTGTATGTTGGCTGAAACCTAACCATATGATTGTCTCAAAGGACTACTCTCTAAATTTTTAATTTAGAGTTTTATCTAGAAGAAAGAACAACATTATGAGGTGCATTCCTACAGCAGGTTCATACACCATGCGTTCTTTTCATTTCCTGCAGCCATGTTAATCATCAGTGTGTAATCAGGGTTTCTCAAATCCCTTAAGTAAACCCTCCTTGTCCTCTAGATCCATGGGTGATGACGGCTATGTTAGTAGAAGTAAAATTGATTGGGTTAAAGGAAGACAAGACATGATTAGATCAAAACATTGCACAAAGTAACCCATTGTTGGCGTCAACCGTAGTCCATATGATCACCGGGACTTATGATTCAATTTGATATATCTCAGAATTGGTGTCAGTTGCACAGATGCACTTCTCATCTTGAACATATATATATATATATATATATATATATATATATATAGTGATTTTGTTTGTTTCGTATAGCACTGTGCTACCGATTGTATCTTCTTACCCCTCTTTTACCTTCTACATGTTTTGTCTGTTAGAGAAAGGTGTGCCTGAGAAGTTTATTAACTTCCCTTTGCAGAAACACCTCAGGTGGAGTTCGGGCGTGCAACCAACTTTCACCACTGTTCCCAACAAACAGTGGAGTTAGACAGGGTTGCCCATTCTCTACATTTCTCTTCGACCTTGTCATCGATGACATTCTGGGGTCAGCCTTGGAGGATGTGCGTGGTGGTGGTGGTGTTGCAGATCTGCTTTCTGGAGTAAGACTTTTCGACCTCGAGTACGCAAACGATATCGTCTTATTGTGCAATAACATGCAGACTGCCCGAATCGTACTTAATCAGTTGGCGATCAGTGCCTGTAAGTATAGTATATGCTTTGGGCCGTATGAGTGCAAAGTAACTGTTGCAAGATTGGCAGGAACTTGTACTTGCACTCATCATCGCAGGTGGACTACTTGAAGTTGTCCACAAGCTCGTGTATCTAGTTGTTTGGGTGACTGCTGGTGGAGGTTTGGTGGACTTGATCTTCATCCATGTAGTGAAGGCTAGGGTTGCATACGTCAATTTTAATCTCTCCCGGCACTGTTGCGACTTCAGTCTGGCTGTTAACGGTCAAGTTTGCAATGTTTCAGGGCGCTCATTCTTGCTCTATGCCTGTGAGACCTAGCCTCTCCGAAATAAAGATGTGAGACGACCGCATATTCGGTCATCGCTGTTTCCGTAGAACTGCTCACTGAATGTTGTCTCCTGGATTCACCGACTTCGCTGGCTTAGACATATGCTGTTGTTGTTCAATTTACAAATTTAAAAAAATTATTTTACTTCTTTTCTTTTTCAGTTATCCTACAGCAACTCACCGTTGCAATGATAAAATAGCGTCTGAATTAGCCGAACGCTTGAAAGCAACATTACAATCAGTCTATCAATCAGAGTTTCTTGATCTTAGTTCATTGTGTATACAACGTGGTCGACAATGTTGGATTGTGTACATTGACTTACTTGTAAGTATCTGATAATGTATAATTTTATGCTTTTTAGATATTAGAAGGTGCTGGAAACCTGCTTGATGCATCATCTTTAGTCATTAAGGCTGCTTTACTCAATGCAACGTATGTTTATTTTTTCTTCTAACACTTTAAAACTAAAAACGAAATACATGTATGTGTAGACAGTCGAATTCTTCACTGGCATCTGTTTTTAAAAATAAGAAGAAAATGGTGACTTCGGAATCCTCAGCTGAACACTCTAATGACGATATGCTACCTCTTTTCGTTACAGTGCATAAAGTAAGCAAAATTTGTTTTTGTTCACTGTTGCAACATTTTTGTTTTGAATTACTGTATTTGAAAAATCCCCATGTCATGTAATTATTAAGTCAGTAAAGAGATCTCTTTTTGTAACTTTACAATTATTTTATGGTTTACAACATGTTTTGAACCCCTTGTTCTCTTGTTTCATTTGGGTAAGTGCAAACGGTTATTCTTCACTTAGCTAATTAGCTGTCAATCCTCTTGATTACGTAAGATTACGAAAAATACTCATCCAGATTGGTATTCTCTTGCCGTCCAGTGTTCCTCAATAACTCTGAAGATAAACTATCGCATTTGACCACTTTGTGCACGCATATACCAATTCACTTGATCGTGTGAAGCTAGATATGTAGGTCTTTCGATGCACGCTTTATCTAAAAGAGTCAATGAATATTATCCCTCCTGGTTACCAAAAGCTGCAGTGTTATCATTGAACATATATTTAAAATTGGTCACTGAAAATATGAGGAAAATCGATTCAAAGTTACCTACAAAGTAAAAAAAGGCTGCCGACAGTGGTAGGCTTCCATATACTTTGCATTGCTGTGAGGCCTTAATGATTCGGATGGGAAATCCTGATATATGTACACAGCAGAAACTTCTTTATCTCCTTCTACCTCAGATACAATTTCAAGTTCAACTGTTATCACTTTTTTTGTTATTAATACTATTTTGTGCATTTTTCATATGACATTTAGTATCATCATTTTCTCAACTAGCCTCCTATTTATTCTGTACAAACCTACAATATTATTTTGATACTTTTCTTCCTGCTCTTTCAATACCCTCCGATTTTTTAAAATTATTACTCAACCTTAGTCTAGACTTACTATTGTTCACCCCTTAGTTCAAATTTGATTATTCATCACTGTTTTAAAGTATTCTGATGACGTAAACAATACTTCAAACTAACTTTCTGCTTTTGTTTGACAAACTGAATGTGCACACAGACAAAAATAACTATAAATAGCTGTGATTATATTACATGGTTTGGGGGCAATCGGCAGGAAGCCTTGAACCACATAGATTTCGTGCTAGTTGACATTCACCAGTCACCAAGGCGTATCTGCGACCTTGAAGAAACTCATGTCCCTTCTGAGATTCGAACCCGCGTCACCCAGTGCTGCAGTCAGCGACTTTACCACTGAACTATTCGGGCTCGTGATTGACCTCCTGTAGGACTGTAGTGGACAGTTTGATTGGAAACTAGTATCTAGTGTTATGCTTCTAGTCCTTTCTTTGCTGCAGACTGAATTCTATCAGTGAGGTTTGCAATGTAGCCACCATTCTAGGTAGCTCGCCATCACGATGCACATTGATTTGATGATATTAAATGGGAAGGGAAATGAGTTCCTTCAAGGTTGCAGATTCGCCTTGGTGACTGGTGAGTGCCTACTAGCACGAAACCTATGTGGTTCAAGGCTTCCTGCCGATTGCCTCCAACCATCTGATATCATAAAATCAATGTGCACCGTGATGGCGAGCTACCTAGAATGGTGGCCACATTGCAAATCTGACTGATAGAATTCTGTCTGCAGCAAAGAAAGGACTAGACGCATAACACTAGTTACTAGTGTCCAATCAAACTATAGTTGTGAATTTGCTGAACCGTTATTTCTTTTTCCGTAACTGTCCATAATTTTTCACACATTGTAATTATATATATATATATATATATATATATATATACATATATATATATATATATATATATATATATATATATATATAAACGTCCAAAATGACTTTTCAACTTTAAAGTGAATTTACTAAGAGACCTATCTGTTGACTTATATGTTCATAATTACTGTAGTTTTTATTTTAGACATTGTTAGTAAAACAAAAAGCTTTTACTATGGAAATAATTATTTGATAATATGTACATCTGTGCATCTCATTTTAAAGTTACAACTGTCAGATTTTCTGCTCGAACCAACATAAGCTAGAGAGATCACCCGAAAACAAGGGAGAACTGAACAGCTGTTCCGTCGCATTCTGGGACTGTTCAGCAGTAACCATCCACGACCCAGCTAGGGATCGACCCCGGGAACTTCAGGTTACAAAACCAAGCTCGTTGACCATTCAGCCACTTAGGCTGGAATTCGATGGCTCCCGAATTCTAACTTTATCAACCCCAAATATAGCGCTGTTCTCACCAATGCCTTAGATGAACACCCACTTCACCTTGATATGGTAGGCCCCACTGGTCAGGACCTCCCACTGAAACTCCAGGAAATTCATCAAATAGTCATCAATGAGCTGACGATTGATATTCAGAGTATAGGACTTTAAAATTACTAACTGTTGTCAGTCAAACTAAGATACTAAGCATACTTTAGCCTCACTGGACTCACTACCTTATAGCAATAGCCAGTGAAACAATTTAAGATGGAAAGTGTTACGATGGAGTGTTACTGGTTTGTTGGGACTAGAATGCACCGCCAGACACGACACTTTAACCAATTGATCACTGAAAATATCCCCACACTCAAATAGACACAAAAGTCAGACTGGGAAGAACGACAACCGAAAACGAAATAACAATACCAGCAACAATCACGACAATGTTTATTAAACAAATTGCACAGTATATTATATTTACAAAACCTCAAGAATTTAAGCTATAAATATATAAACAAATGCGATTGGTTGTATGACCTCAGAAAATTAATCCATAAATAAACGAATCAAAAACTATCCAATCAGGTTATCTTGTGTCAGTGCATGCCTAAATAATAACTTCAGAGAAGCTTGTCAATCCCAATAGAAAGGTATACAAAAAAAGCAAAGATTTGACATCATGATAAACTGTGACGGTGTGATACAGACAATGTTTGCCAACGGAATATTATTCTCACATATTCCAACAGTTCAGTCCGGCACAAGCAACAGAATACTATGTATATTTAAACATTCTATTTCATATCGTTTAGTGTAAGCCAAAATCACATGCTCAATGATTGGTTAGAGAATATAAAAGTGTATATATATAAACAGCGGTTTAATCACATGAAAATGTACCTTGGCTCCAGTGTCTTGCCTTCTGTTGTTACAAAACAACCATAGATAGGTTTTTTAAGCATAAAAAGGTAGTGATGTCTTTTAGTGCGACAGATTTCATTGTCCATACATCCTTCTTCTGTAATTTCTATGCTTTCTCTATGTCTTTGATTAATAATCGTCAAGGATAACCATAAGTGTATAATATCAATAGGAGCCAACTTTCTTCCAATTACCCGATCATAAATTCATGTATCAGATCATACTAAAGGTGCACTGATGACGTACGTTTTTATTCTAGTACAAATAACACTGAAGTGTTTTGAATAAGGACACACTTGTATAGACTTAAAAATAAGCAGTTTCAGTGTTCCTTTTCTATCGCCTTCTCAAATGTGTTGCATAAGTTCTTATTTCTTTTTGTTTTTAGATTGGGAATGCTTACGTAATCGATGCTACTAAAGAAGAAGAGGCGTGTTCATTATCCAGGTTGGTATATTCATCAAATGTGTTTGTTCATTCAATAAAATGATGATATTTCAGGTTGTCTGTTGTTATATACCCTGACGGGTCATTAGGATCTATAGAACGTGATGGATGTTCCAGTTGTCATTTGGAAACAATTGTTAAAATGTCAGAGGTAAATATAATTTTTTGCATTTCATTAACTCACTTTTATTACAGCTTGCAACCACAGTTGGAAAGGAATTAAATCAGGCTTTGATAAACACACTGGAATTAGAGAAACAATTGCGTTCCACATAGAAAAAAATATAGTATCTTTGTATATATGGTATACTTAAATGTCTTTTCATCATTGTTCCCAGTGTTATGCAAGAGAATATGATCACTGTTTGAAAGTATCCATTGGATTCCAACTTAAGCAATTCGAAATAACCTATTGCTTTTACTAATAACATAAAAAAAGTTGTTCAGCACATGTACGGTATTTTGTCGTTACACAGTAATGAAATATGATATGTTAACTGATGATAAGATATCGTTGTCCTATTTTGGTTCCATACTGTACCATACCAATCAACAATAACAACAAGCAGTACCGATCACTATCAACGGGAAAAAATTTTCAGAGGTTGCTTCCTTCACTTATCTAGGAAGCGTTATTTCATCTACAGGTGGAACGGAGGGGGATGTCATAGCGAGGATGGGAAAGGCAAGACAAATCTTCATCACTCTGCGATCAGTCTGGAAATCTTCTGCATTCAACATAAAAAAGAAGATTCGGATTTTCAACCCAAATGTTAAGTCCGTTACTTTTATATGGGTCAAAAACTTGGAGCGTCGCAAAAACCATTTCTAACAGATGACTACAGACTTTTATCAACAACTGCCTTCGCTGCCTCCTTATTGAAGATCAAACGGCCGGTCAGAAAGAAATGGCACCAAGAAACTCTGGGAACAAACTGACCGAGAGCCGATTGCTTTTTGAGCAGGAGAAAATGGAGATGGATAGGGTACATGCTGGAGAGACCGTCGAAAAACGTCGCGCGCCAGGCCCTCGAGTGGAACCTGAATAGACAACGTCGAGTGGGCGTCTGGAAGTGGCATGGAGGAGATCAGAGACTATGGGCAACCGTGGGTCCAGCTAAGGAGGACAGCCGAAAATAGGACAAAGTGAAGACGTGCTGTTAAAGCCCTATATGTTCTACTAGGAACTCAAGGGAATAATAATAGCAATAAATACAAAATATAGTGTTTCATAGGTTACAAAAACTACCACGATTATATACTATAAATGAACGCAACTGTTGTAAAAGTTAGTCCCTTTGGTTAATTTAAACAAGGTATTAAGAAAACAAATATCACGAGATGATATCATTTCCATACTACTGCTTTACAACTAGCATGGTTCACGATGATAAAATAAAAAAAGTATAACAATTACTCAGATATATACAACAAAAGTACGCACTAATAGCCAATCATATTTTAGTAGGTCAAGTAGTCCATGGCTGACAAAGGTTTAATTTGAAATGGATGATGATGGATTTCTATTCAGATTAATTATATTTGGGTTTTCTATGTAACTTAATAACTATTTAGGGACATGTTCTTTCCGACAAAATTGGAACATTCTATTGGTTCTACCTATATATATTTGTCACCGGAACTACAGGTGAACTTGTAGATACAGTGTGAAGTACAGTCGATAGAATTTCGTCCTTTAGTCATTGTTACAGGAGTCAAAAATGTTCGAAATGTAAGGAAAAGCGATACAGCATAGTGTACGCTTGATAGGTCACCGAAGCCTCTGAGCTCTCAACTAGTTAATTTGGTGATCATCTTTGAATGGTAGCCTAGTAAAGTTAGCTTTCTTTGGTACTGAAGGTGTTCAGTTTGGGATCCAATGAAGTCTTCCGGATATTTATTAGCTTATAAAACTGAATGTTTGCACCCTTGCTCATCCATTGTTGTGTCGCTCGTGCAAATTTTACGGGCCCTTGAAAACAGGCATTTCACCAGGGAACGTTTATACTGGATAAGAACAAAACTGCTAAAATGGAGAAATTGTCCACTCCATATCTGCTTGGGAGATAAGAATCGCTTAATTGTTCCGTCGTCCCGTTCGACTCCGTGGATCGAGAGGTACTATGGCAATGTTTGACTATGAAGGGAGTGCCAAGAAAGTACATTGCACTAATCAAGGCACTCTACTCAAACTCACGTAGCTGTGTAAGGGCTTATGGAGAATTGTCATCTGAATTGATAACAACCAGTGGTGTCCGTCAAGGATGTCCACTTTCCCCATTTCTGTTTAACTTCATCATAGATATGCTAATGGGAGTTTCCTTAACTGAACTTAACAACTTAGGAATCGACTTGCTACCAGGGAATAGTCTTATAGACTTAGAATACGCAGACGACATAGTCCTGTTAGGAGAGGACGCTGACAAAATGCAGAGTCTTCTGAACACCTTGAGCAGCAATCTTCGTATGTTTGGCATGCGATTCGCCCCTGTGAAATGCAAGATGCTGCTACAGGACTGGACTACGTCAACTCCTAGCTTAGTGATAGGGAGTGAAGTGATAGAACATGTTGACCACTTCACCTATTTGGGAAGTTGTATCAGCACCAACGGATTGATTGGTGACGAAATCACAGCACGGATCCAGAAAGCTCGGGCTGCTTTCGCTAACTTACACCGTCTCTGGCGTAGGCGTGACATCCGGCTATCAACTAAGGGACGTGTGTACTGCTCAGCAGTTCGCTCCGTCCTTCTCTATGGCGGTGAGACGTGGCCATTGAGAGCGGAAGACATGAAGAGATTGTCTGTTTTTGACCACAGATGTTTACGATCTCTTTCTCGCGTTAGGTGGTATAATAAGGTAAGTAATGTTGACGTTAGGCGTAGAGTGTTGGGCAGAGAGGGAAAATCACTCGAAGAGGCTATAAAGTTACATAGATTGAGATGGCTAGGTCACGTGCTGCGCATGCCTAACCATCGTCTCCCCCGACGGACATTAGCTGATATAGGTGCAGGTTGGAAAAGAGTAAGTGGTGGCCAAACAAAAACATGGCATCAATCCATGAAATCCCTGACAGTGAAACTGAGTCAGGTAGGGAGATGCGGACTTCCGGGTTGGGGCCCTCGGGACTCTAAGAATCAATGGCTGGAGACACTAGGTGACATGGCTCAAAATCTTTGTCAATAGCGCAGATGTATTCAGTCTCTTTAACCTTCATATTCTTCTCTACCATTACTCCTTCTGTTTCACTCTTATACTTGTCAAAACTATTGATTCTCTACACTCATTTTCTTGTCTACCTTTGTGTGCTATTTGGAGTGTGGCAACTCGAACTGCTGCACTTCGGTGCCAAGTTCTATGTTGAATCCAGCAGCAGCGTCCCTACTAGTCATTGAAAAATCCAAGAAATTCAGTTTGTTATTCAATTCGAATTCTAAATTCACTCGAATATTTGAACAAATAGAGTAACACAGTTGTCAGTCAACTCATTATAGTCACCAATACGTTTGCTGGTATAACACTCGCTTCTTTCTCCAATTTTGACATATATACATCTGCTAACAGGAGCCCGAAAGGGCTTCCCATTCCCATACCATGAGTTTGTATTCTTTTCCTTGAAAATCAAACCTGACACTTTCTGTACATGTCAACATGACATACCTGATCTAAGTGGCAGGCAAAGGTAATCCTATTCCATGGCTTGTGATATAATTACAAATGAAACCAACAGACTCGTACAGTAGAATATCGGTGAACAAAACAACCTGGGAAGCCATAAAATTAGTAATCTCCTTTTTTAAATCTATTGATGTATGATAAATCTTTTTTTTCATTTAAGCGAATGTAGGTGTTTTCAGAAACTCCGTTGCATGGAACTGTCCGACTGAGTTTCAACATGAAACTTTGCACAAAAGTGCAGCATATAAAGTTGCCACACTCCATGTAGCACAGAGGCATAAAAGAGAAAAAGGGGCTGTAATAAGCAGGAAGTTGAGGGAGGAAGACTAGTAACATTGAAAGACATTAAGGTTTAATGGATATGACAGATCACAAAGAGTGACTGCATCTTCGCCATTGACAACGAATTTGAGCCATATCTTCAGTAGTCTCTTAGAATCCCGAGGAACCCAACCAGGCATCCTACACCTCTCCACGTGGCTTGAACTAACTGTTAAAGATTTCATGTTTTGGTTTGACCACCAGTAACTCTTTCCCAACCTAATCAAAAATATCGGCTAACATTGCTCGTCGAGGAAGGCGATGGCTAGGTATGCGCAGCAAATATCCTGGCCATTCTGACTCACTTTCACAACCTTATCGATTGACGTACCCTCTCCTTACCTACCACTCGATGCCTACTCTCAATGTTACTCGCCTTATTATACCACTTGACACGGAAGACAGAAGGCAGACACCTATGATTGAAAAGAGCTAACATTTTTAAATTTAATACTACCCAACTGCCCAGGTTGAAGTAGTCAGAGTAGGGTTTGGCATCTGAAACCCATTGGCTGGATGTCAACTGCCTAAACCCTATCACTGGGTGAATGTTGATATTCAGGGAACAGTATTAGTGTAGGCAGTCAGTCTCATGTTACTCGTGGTCTGGTAGTCATCCAAAGTCGAAGTTTATACACCTAACGCTTAGTTTACCTCAGGAATAATGTTTTCGTAATTCAGTATTTATCTTAAAATTATAATAGATTTTTGTGATCGAATGAACACATTTCATGAGGTACCTCGAAAGTACATTTAAAAAGTTACAGCTGCTAATATTCATAATTTTATTAACAATATTTAGTATATACACTAAACTATACAAGGAATCACATTGCGCGTTTTTCAATTGATTTCTCATCAAGATAATCAATCTTTTTCCAGTGATCAAGTCTTTCAAAATAACGCTCTCTTCGTTTACGTTCACGTTTTCGTGCAATATTTCTCTCTCTTTCCAGTTGTAATAATTTCAAAGTTTTTTGACTCCACATACTTTCATCTGATTCTGCATAACTTTTTATAACCTTTGGAGTAAAATGTTCACTAGTCAGTGTTGGAACTTCTCGACCTAGTGGATCGACTTTTTCAACAACTGTTGGACCAATCCATTCGCCTTTTTCTAATTCATCAACAGCACGATTACGTTCTTCTACAACCATTAAGAGATTCTCCATACTCTCTTCAACCTAATATTAGAGAAAAGTAAAAATAAGATTATTATTTCAACTATGAGTTTAGTTATTTTGTAAATGTTTATAGTAAATATGTACATAAACTTAATCTGAAGTAAGATAAAAAGACAAAAGATCCGATTATTATCATTAGTGTGTTTTAAATGTAAAATCAATGACATTTGATACATTTTAAAGTGTATGACCCCCGGTGTGATAGTTACATCGGACTAGAAGGTAATACCCACCCACCCCATCAGGATATTGGAGAAAGAAGAGA